AACATGCAGCCAGCTCGTTTGTCTGGTTTCAAACTATCAAATATTCATCGGTTTTACCCCCTCGCCCAATGATGGCTGCCTGAATTCTTGGAAAATCATGATTCGTGAATAAAGCTTTATTCTTAAAGTTCGAGCTAGACCTGAATTCGTGGAAAATCATCATTGATTAATAAAGCTTAATATTCTTAAAGTTTGGAATTAGGCCTTGTATTTTAGAATAATTAATCCAGAGCGTGCAGTAATCCATACAGAATTCTGAAAAGAGCATTAACGTTAAAAAAAAAAAAAAAAAATCTCAGCTTCTTCTCCTTCTTTAATTTATTTATTTTAAACTTCTTAAATGTACCAATCTGTAGGGTAGTGCCTTTTTTGCCACTGTGTTTTTCTCTGCTTCTCTGTGTAATAGGTGTGCCTTTACTTAACAATGACCCATTTTTTGACCTTTTTTATTAAAAAAAAAAAAAAAAAAAAAGTAGGGGCGTATATGGAAAAAGACAATTTTAAGCTAAGAAGACATATTTAAATAAGCGATATCTGAATCTTGATTAAATGGACTTGCTTTTTTTTCCCCCAATTCATCAGAACGTTCAGGCACATGATGAAGAATTTTCTTCATAAATTAAATATTTATGTGTTAAAGAGTTTAGCAAAGTAAATTAGTTTACACAATGTTATTACATATATTAACTAATTCAAAATTTAAATTATTTTAATATCCTTTCAGCTACTTTAACTATTTGATTATGTAAATTGCCTCTAAGCATTCAGTAAATATTTTTTTCTAAATTGTACATAAGTATTAAATATTTATTTACATGGTTTTAGTATCGCCAAGTGCACCCATCTTGCACGTTCTAAATCCTGTATGTACTCTTGCTAAGCAGAATCCATGTATTTAAGAGTAATCAGTTGTCCGTAAAGGATACGGATCCATGGTAGTGTTATTGAAAATGCATAGATTTTTTTCCATTATAAAATCAGCGCCATTCGGAAACTGAATTTTACCTGATTTTAGAATTCAGTCTCTGTCTTCCTCCTTTCTTTCGTTTATCCTTTTTTTAAGATTTGGAACTACATTGAAATTCAAGCAGTTAAAACTCAAAATATAGTTGGATAATATTTAAATATTTTTCAGTTCTGTGCAGAGAAGCATTATCTGAGTATCCGAGAAATCTAATGTTTCTTTCATTTTTTCTAAATTCATTGAATATTTGGTTCAGATTAGTTTAAAATATTTTTAACATCAATTAAAAATTCTTAATATTTCCATAGCATAATTTTGTTCCTGTTTTGATGTTCAGATTTAAGGAACTGAAACGCATTTATAGATCGACTAAACATGTTAATTTAGCAAAACACTTTTCGTATGATAATTCTCAGTCATTTATGATCATATAATAATAATCCTTTCTTTTTGCTTACATATTAATCATTTCAGATAATAATAAGGTTTATGCGCAACAAAAGGAACTAATTTAATATAATCGACTTTGCCGAATGCTAGCTGTGGTTTTTTGCATGAATTTGAAATTATTATTAAAACCCTAAGTGAAAGAAAATCCTAATCATTTGACTAAAATTGAAAAGCAGATGTATTTGCAAAAAGCTGCATTATGAGAAGACAGTGTCACAATTGATTGAAAATGAAATTTGCAGTATTTGCAGAAGAATTGTTGATTTGAAATCAAAGATAATATGGGAGGGTTGTTCAGTAAATATCCAAATTTAGCCATAAACCCGAGCACAAAAACTAATTTTAGTAACTGATGCTAAGCGAACTACTGTGTTTGACATGTGATATTGTCCCTAATATTAGTTGTTTTTTCCCACACTATTAGTTTTTCAGGATGGCGTTTAACCCTTGGTACTATGGGCGCATATGTGGGTCATATATATGCACTGTGGCGCATATGTGCATGGACGCAAATGCGGGGTCGGCGAAGGCATTGGCCCTTTACTACTGCCTCATGTGTAAGTTCGGAAATTATTTCTATCGTATTCTCGGAAATCCAACGCTTGGGGAAACCTCATACCTCGTTCGTTGCTTAGCAGCGAGAAAAAATGAAATCTCGTTTATTTAGTCAGTCTTTTTTTGGCCACTTACGTAAAGCGCTTCAATTTAGAGCAGTTAGCAGTCGAAAGGTTAATCAATTAATTTTCGTCCAAGTACAGCTGTGATCATGAAGTCTTCGTTGAGAGAAGTTTCGAAACATCGTCGACTGTTATGTGCGTTAGGAAAACAGAAGTGTTCATTAGTATCTGAATGGAATTTTTGAAGATTGCGAGTCTATCGAGGATGACATTCGTGAAAGTTTTTCGAAAAATATCATTATAAATGAATAGAACCAAGTAGGTAATTTTGATTATGCGAGTTATTAATGTAAACAAAACTTCAGTGGGGCAGTATCACTAATTTTTATTAAGTTACCTATCTTTGCGTTCCCAAACAACTGAATTTTGACAAAAAATTGGCATGATTTGAGATTTCAAAGGAACTGCTGGATCGGTACGAATGTGAAAATGAGAGATTGTTTTGCATTACGTCTATCGGTTAGTCATGTGCATGTGTACATCATTACCCACTTGAAACAAAGCTTCGATGCAATGAAAACATGCAGATTGTTCTTCTTACAAGAAATTTCTCATGCCTTCCCCGAATAACGATGTTCTGCGAAAAAGTACCTTGCTTCTGGTTTTCGTGAGAACGGTAGAAACGTAAATGTACTGCTAAGAAACCTGTAGATTTGTTCAGTTAATATATCAGTTCGCAACACGACTATGCAAGATCGCATGCGACTGCTAAAACTGCGTCAGTAATTAATGAATTGCATTGAGACAAACTGCTACATTCGCCATACAGTCCAAGCTTGGCTCCGAGTGATTTTAACCGCTTTATCGCTCTGATAGAGACTCTTTGGGGAAAAGAATTTTCACACGAACGACAAAGTGGATTCAGGAAATTCTCCAATAGTTGAGACACTAGCCAACAAATTCTACGCTGCCGGAATGTAGAAGCTGATAGTCAAGTGAGAAGAGTATACAGTAGTTGTAGAAGACTGCATCGAAAATTAAGTGACAGGAAAGTCGACTTTATCTAGATCGCAGTTGTCTGGAAATCAGTCTGGATATTTTTGCCCTTCATATTAAATCATCTTCTCCTGTTATCGAGTATATTTTTTTAAGATAAGAGTGATTTTTTTTAGTGTGGTATTGTTTTTGTGTAATTGTGTATAACATGTTTTTTAAAAGTAAAAAGGCACAATGGAGAAGATGCATTTTTACATAAAATTTTCTTAGTAACAAACAGCAAGATATATATATATATAGTACATTGTGGCATTATACAACAAGAGATATATAAGAACAGTAATTCAACAACAAGAACAAATGTCACTCTATTAATAAATGCTAGATGACTATTATAATATATAAAAAAATTCTCTAGTAAAATGAAGCATATTTTAAATTTTATTTCATGCATTTTCATATGATAAAACTAAGAAATTTATCAGCTTGCTTATATTTTATAAATAAGGGGGGAAATTGCGCGTCATCGAGTGTTCTGAAATAAAATATGTAACTCACCTTTAGCATGTCTGCTTAATTATATTCTGTTAATTAATGCAAGCTCATTTTACTTTACTTCATTTTGATGTTTAATGATAATGATGCGCATGGTCTTTTGATGTAATGTTATGCAGAAGCAATTAGAATTTTATAGAATCTGGTAATTAATTTGCTTCAGACTATTTCAGGAAACGAAAATAAAATGTGGATATTTATTGTATGCATTACCCTTTCACGGCGCTTTTACAAAAATAGTGGAAACGGAATTTTGCTCAAAAATCAGCCGACGAGATTTATGTGAAAGATAGGAAATGTAACTGGATGTAAGTTTGTAAGCTCTAAATATCTTGAATATTCATGACTTAAAAGATACCATTACACTTTTTCTTAGAAACTGTATTTGTCTTATAGATAAATTTTTAAATTTACGGAATTGCCTCTCATTTTTTCACCTCTTTTTTCCTCTCTCTCTCTCTCTCTCCTTTTTTTTTTTTTTTTTTTTTTTTTTCTTTTCTTTTCTTTTTTGTGGAAGTTATGTAGTCGAATCTCTAATTCATCAGCTCAGTAGGAAGCTACTCAGCTTGTCACGTCGCTATTTCGAAGTCCTAAAATATCTAGCTTGCTTATCCATATAACCTACTTCTTTTTCCCATTATTTGTCAAAGAGGAGCTAATAACATTGCTCTAACGTTGAACTTTATTCTGTTCTCACTAGAAAAACTATTTAGTTTTCAAAACCCGACAAATTTCGGCAAGATATTAGACAGTGCCGTAACACTGAATTTCCTTATTCTGCGCTTCATCAAAGTATCCTATGCATTTTAGAAAATGAATCGCGTTTCGAAATCTCTCTCGTAAGATTTTAATTTTTTTTTTTTTTCCTAATTTTGTACAAACGTTTCTTTGTTAAACATTAAAAATATATACACCGTGCCGAGCCTTTATTTTCGCAACCGTTGATCATATGTACGTCCAGTTACAAAAAGGTTTTATACGACGTAAAGATTCAAGATTTCCTATTTTTAAATTTAAAGAGATCAATTTAGTACAAATTATGAAATCTAACTTTCTATACATTCCTCTGGTCCCTGTCTCTCTCTCTCTCTCTCTCTCTCTCTCTCTCTATATATATATATATATATATATATATATAAGGAAAAGTCTGTCTGTGTATGTCTCTTGTTTGTGCTGCGCGGAAGCTAGTAGACCCGGGACTACGAAATTTGGTACACAGGAGGTGCATCTAGACAAGAGCTAGTGCACCTCGAAGCGATTTTTTCAAAATTTGAATGAAAAAAATGAGGCTGATCTGTGCAATTTTTTTAATTTAATATTTCTCTTGGATACTGGACGTTTGTCGAAAGAAGGCAACGGGAAGTTAGTTAATTTATTTATTAGGATAATTAATATTTGCATTAAGGGATATTGCTTATTTCATTGTAATTTTTCTTTTATATATAATACATTTTTATTGATTTTTTTGGGGGGGAGATATGTAACTCACTTACCTTAAAATTCTGTGCAGTTTTTAAATTTAATGTTTGGTGTTCCCTTTAGGAATTTTTCATTCGCATGGCTAAGGCTGGCCGCGTTGCGGCTAGTATTTTATATTTAAGAAAATTTTGTACTTATTATAAGAAATGAAATACAAGTTTGACTCCTATGCTACAAACATTGGCCTAGACATTTAATATTAAAATCGGGAAACATATTCAGGGCCAGTAAACAAATTGAAAACAAAATGTTTGCATTTGTACATAACTTAAAAAAAATCGTTTATAAAAAGTTTACTGATGTTACGAGATTGCGTGACGAGCGTTTCCATGCAGATTATTATGAAAAATATTGGTCTATATATATATCTTTATCTTTAATTAATTCTAAATCTTCATAAGACTATTAATAAACGTGTTTTTAACCTGTGAAAATTTATAAATTACTTGCGTGAAAATTCTTCTTGCATACCAAACGTAACAAAATTATAACTAAAGACGCTAGTAAGTCGCAAAAGAATATAATTAAGCACTTAAGAGGGGGGAATCAAACTCGAATTATTATAATTTATTAATCGAACCCGGAATGCAAATTCAAATGACGTTAAGTTTTGAAATTAGGTACCTTAATTAATTTTTATCGTACAGGAAGCATATTTCACAAGTGCATATCAGCTTAGCCACTGAGAGAGGCGTTTCGAAAATGGACCAATGAGCTTACTCTTGCTCTTGTGACGATAAATCTTCGTACATGTGAGCGTATGTTGTTTACATTTTAATTTGTATTTGTTTCGCAGTTATAAATGTGTGGCGCAATAGTAGAAAATCTCGTAGTGCTTTCGTTTTATGAGTTTAATTAATCGCTGATATTTCACTTACGCGATTTTTATCACGCATTAATATTTGGATTGACGTTCACGGTATATTATCGCTCTTTACATCGAGAAAATGACTCAAGCTACAATTATCCTCGAATATTATGAGTTTATTAACACCTGTGGATTAAGAGAAGTCAAGTGTATAGTTTTTTTTTTTTTTTTTTTTTTTTTTTTTTTTTTTAATTGAGCTCAGAAGGATTGAAAGTGTTGCAATGACTCTGGTGTTTTCTTATTTCGGTGCTTTCATTCTTTTGATTTTGAAAGTGTTAAGATTCAGATTACATATTGTGTATGATCTGATTAAATGCATTGTTAACATTAAAAGTTATATGTGAATAAATTGAATATATTCGTTGTGAATAAGGTAAATTTATTCTGTTTGATGAGTATTTCTTGTGTAGACAGTACATTTAAGAGTGAGCAGTTATTAATCGTGAAATTTAATACTAAATGCAAATTTGTAAAGTTCACTTTGAATAAAATTCTGCATTGGCTATTGTTATTGAACATCTTTTTCTTGTAGACTACAATAAAAAGTTCTGACTTCTATGTACATATATAATTGGGGTAAATATTTTTCTCATATGCATAGTTTTATATAAAGATAGCGTTTGGGATCAGATTATCACAAATTTCTTTATCTTATTTACCAATTATTAAGTAATATTTAACATGGATATTTTTGTGGAGTATCCAACATGTGTTTGTATTTATTTCAAAATCTTTGAACTAGGTAGTGAAATCTTCACAATTGCTCATATGTTATCTAACTTTTCAATGAAAATTTTCAGAAGAAATCGACAATAATTATTTTTTACAGAAAATTGAGTGGCAGAATATTTTTCAACCATCTTGCTTAAATCTTAAGGCACGCGAAAGGTCATGTGGCATGACAGAGGTATTACAGGATGCCCATTGGTCCATCCTAGAAGCCATTCCCTCGGTGGCTACGCAGATGTGCACTTGTGAAATATGCGTGCGGGAATCAAACTTTTGTGCTTTATTTTTGGTTAAGAGGATAACATTTTCCTAAAAGTAAGTATAGGGACCGGTACACAGTGTAAAAAGTTAGATTTTGTAATTTATAAAAAATTGATTTTCTTAAATTTAAGAGTACGAAAACGTGAATCTTGGCGTCATTTAATGCATTTCTATAACTGGAAGCATATGTCTATGAGAGAAGGTTGTGAAAATAAAGACCGGGTAACGACTTTTATAGACATGGTGTATATAAGAAAACAGAGTTGACAGAACAAAAAAAAAAAAAAAAAAAAAAAAGAGGCAAATATATTTAGGGCTTATCTTGTTCATTTGCAGTTTTGCAGCTGAAGATGATGGTTCGGTAAAACCATCGAAACTAGTCCTGTGAAAATTTTGTGAATTAACGCTGATTTTTGTTGTTTGGCTTCTGAATTGGTATATTTAGGGCTATGAGAAACGGCCATTAATAAATGCTGCTTTTGCTAAGGCTAGCTGCTTACGAAGTACTTTTTAAACTAGCACATTCTGCTGCTAAAGATAATTTTTTTAATTTCAGTGCAAAACTGAGTGGAATAGAATTCGTGTACTGAACTTCGATTAATTGGAAGCATTATTATTTGAATGGTTTATATATGAAAAAATTAGCAACGTTTCAATCTTCAGTAACATTTTAAAAGTAATTCATGTAAGAAAAGTTGAATCAAACGACTATATTTAAGTGAAATAAAAAAAAAATTGTATATAAATAATTTATTTATTTAGATGAAATATTTTAAATTAAATTTGAAATTTTATGAGAAGTCTTGGAGATGTATTTAATCTTTTTCTAACCTCCACTTCAGAAGTAGCTCCGCTTAAGATGACAGTCAGTCCCAAGAGTGACGCACCAAAGAGATCTGACTGTATCTAAGTTCAGAATCGAAAACAGATACAATGACATTCTGCAAAAGCTTAATTTTATTTATTCTTAGTGCTATGTGCATTATCTGAGCATTATATTGATGAGGATGTAGAAGTATTTCCTATGGTTTTTTTTTCCTTAATGGTGGGAAAAACTAAGCGATATTTACTGGCTTCCATTTCTTTCTTTACTTTTACTGGACAAAAGTATTTTAATTTTTCAATGTTACTTTTCTGTCCAAGATTTTCTATCTAATATCTTACATGCAGTACCATAGTTAAATTTAATGGCCTGTTGATTTTAATGTTGTAATGCCACTGAACTTGTTCCATAGCTATTTAAATTTCTCCGAAAAATATTAATTTATATTAGAGAATTAGCTGCTTAACAAAATACGATACATAACAATTAATGAAGCTTACGATATAAGAATACATTCTTCATTTATGAAGCAATCGGCAATTATTAGTAAAACAATTATTCGATTGCTTGAATTCGCTAATTTGAATGTGTTTAATTTGCATCCGATATTTAGAATAATCTCTTTATAAATTCGTGGGTTATGCCGTAAATCAGCGGTCTCCAAGCACATTTCATTGTGCACACTTATATAAAAATGAACTAATGCATATTATAATAAAAATAGAATCGTTTGCATAATTATATGCATACTTGTATAAAACATCATATGTAAATACAGTCTACCAGAATAATATAATTTTCATTCCAGTCTATACAGAAACACAAGTTGTTCATAAATTATGCATTTTTACAAAGAAAAATGTGTTCTTATTATAGTACTGGAATTTAATACACCTGATCACCTTCTGACTACCTTGCTTGAAAAGTTTGCGATACAGCATTCCAAAAATCTATTTTCAATTTCATTTGAAATGTATATATGATGTATGGGTTTTTAATGAATGTTTTATCATTAAACATACTTACTACTGCATGGTACCCATTTTTCTGATCTAATTCTCTTGTAGAATTTAGTTGCAAATCAAAGTCTATCATTTGGTTTCGAGCTTTGCAGATATTGAATATTTCAGTTGCTTAATAACCATTATTTCATTTAAAGTAATTTATTAATTTTTCTAATGTAAATTCTATGCTTGTTTTATAATTTTTCCATTCATTAAATGCAGTTCGTGCGCTTCAAAAGAGCCATTTTGCGTTCTTTCCTTTCTTTGCAGCTCATTAAGATAAATCATTGATTTTACATTTATTTCAAGTTGAGATTAAAAATGATGAACTACGCAGTTTTTCTTATTTTTTTGGTAGTAAAATATAATTATTTAAAAGCTTATGTATGAACTTACTAACTATTAAACACTGCAAAATATAACTGTAGCTAGAATTTTAGTTTGGATGCTGTTGATAAGAGGCGCTTGAATACGTTGCCTCAAAATCCAAAGAATTATTTAAACAATTTCATTCATTAAATAAAACTGTTAATCGTAATTTATGAGTAAAAACTAGAATTTGCAAGCATAGGCACACACAATATATACAAATACATACAAGCACACACACACACACAACATATATATATATATATATACTATAAAACTTGTAATAAACGGTAATATATAATGATTGTTATGCATTCGTAATTAAATTTTCCTATATAAAGTTTTATTTGCAAATGAAGGACAAATACCTGATAATAATACTAATTTTAAATCTTAAAAATTTTCTAGAAAGGGAACACAATTGCAACAATGACGAATATAGATACTTTAAATGGTTAAAAGCTGGGATAGTTATTCTTAGTGAGAGGGGAAAATATCTAAAATTCGTCAAAAACTGTAGTCTGTGTCCGTTGCAAAATAGATAAATTCTTGTTGCGCCTTAGTTTTAAATACCCTTAAGTATCACTTTTGAAAAGTGCTACTTTGAATAATTACGATTGCATTAGTTTCAAGTGAAAAACATTTCTTTAAATAAGTTTTGATTAAAGAGCCTTTATGCAAAATATTTTGTAAGACATTTCAGCAGGAGTAAGAATACGCGTCAAAAAATAATGAAAACACAGAACAACACACAATAAATATCTAAGTGAAGATAAATGCAGACAGAATCTGAAACTGAAATTTTGATCATGCTACAAAGAACAAATAATATATAATGGATTTTAGAATTTCAATGCGTTGTTACTTAACATTTCCACTTGATGCCCTAAGTCGTGACCTTGGCTGTGTAGCATCCGCAGGTTTGCTAGATTTGGGGCATCTTCTGCACCTTCCACGAATTAGTCGCGTGATGTAATCTGGCCAGTTGTCGGGCAGAAGGACTAACATGGAACCAATAGATATTAAAAGAATACCTGCGAGTTTCATGCCTTCAAAAACCACGTTGTTTAGGTGGACGTCCAAAACTGAAAGCATTGAACAGTTTACACAGGAAGCATTTTATTAACTTGAGATCAATAATCTAGCATGGAGTAAGTAATCTGTACATAATTTACTTTCACATAAAAATATTTTACACGTGAGACATTTAGATATCAGTTTCTCGTCTGGGTGCTAAGCTAGTTTCCAACATAAATTTAAGGAATGTGTTTAAGATTATACATGGAAATACATAAATACAGCTAATATTAAAGTTACATTTAAGGGTCATTACATTAAATAAATGTTGAAAATAAATAATAAGTATTAAACTTTTCTAACTGGTTTTACAACTTAAACAAATACGGAAAAAATTTCCTGACAAATCTGAGTTTTATTCAGTTCATGAAGAGAGGAAACATTTTAAGTGTCGAAAAATGAACTTTTTCTTTCTCAAATCTGATATACCGCAGTTAAAGAGATTTATGAAAAGAAGAAAAGGAAGTTCCATATTCTTTTAAAATTGCTTTTCTAGGATTTATGGACTTTCACTGCGAACTGGCGCAAGCAAGAAGTCTTGAATGTTTACTTCAATTTTGTGACTTCTAAAGACTAGGCTAATGTTCAGTTTTTTTTTTTTTTTTTTTTTTTTTTTTTTTTTTTTTTCAGTCACTTCCAGTCATTTCGATGGTATTAGATTACTGTTTGGTATATTTATCACGCTATATTTTCTCATAAAATGTTAGTTTGGGTTAAAAGTAATTTTTAATCAAAAGATAAATATGATTAAACAGATCGTTCAGACAGATTGTTTCTATGCAACTTTATCTGACTTAAAATCTGCCTTTGCGATGTTGAATAATAATATTAACAATGAGTCCAAGCTGGCACTTTTAATGGAGATAAGTTTTTAAAATTTTTCCCCCCACCCATTCTTTAAGTATACGACAGAAATTATATCTGGCAAAATTCCTTTGACTGTAAATTACAATGAATGTTTTATATACTGGATGACTATATTAATGTTTTATATACTGGATGACAATATGAATGTTTTATATACTGTTATTTATATATTTTAAGGCCATTTCCCTTTCTGAACATATAGGCAGTGACTTCAAATCGAGAAAGTCAAGAATGCTAAAGTAATAATTTAAAAAAATTACTGAAATTTATTTCTTCCTAAATCAGTTGTTAAAGTTTATATGTCTTCAGATTTATTTCATGCAAATCGTATTATTATATGTAAATAATGATAATTTATTAATTCATAGGTAATTTATTAGAGTTTAAAAATATTATCAATGCTAAAAACATCTAAAAATTTCAAATGATATGAATTAACAATGAGAGTACGATGAAAAGAGAGAGTAGAAATAAGCTAGTATTATGCCTAGCAGAAATTTTATTCAAGCCTGAAAGCATAAATGGGTTGAAAAGAGTGGAATTAAGATTATTCGGACTTTAATAAGATTTTGATACGAAAGTAATAAATGAAAAATGCTCTTCTTACCTGCCGAAACTGGCACCGCTGAAACAATGCCTAGTTTGAGGAAAGTGTCATAACTGTGGATAATGTCAAAGTTTCCAAGAACATTGGCAACTGTAATACAGAGAAACCATTAGAATATGTCCATTTTAAAATCTAAATATTGGATTAAATTTGCAAATTATACAAATGAATTCATGCCGAAAACAAGAACAGCAATGTTTGAATTGCTCTAAACCGCTAAATGAAAAGAAAAGCAAATTAAATTGAATTAAGCTGACGTGGTTTGAAATCTGCATTTCACTGAGCAAAGTACTGTTATGAAATATACAATCTTAATAGCATAAAAAAATTCCGCTGTGAGTACGATCGATATTTTTCGATTTGTATGTGTGCCAGAAGCTTTTCGCCTCATACAAATGCTTTATTAGTTGTCTGTTTATTTCATACACCTTTACTTGACATAGCGCGCGGACAACCGTAGGATAGGTACAACTGGATAGCCTTAAGCCCTGATGGGAAAATAGTGTCCTGGGGGCCACATATGGCGCAGAGTTTTATTCTGAGTAGTAAGCCCAGGCAACCGCGCGGCGGAAGTGACGTCACAGAAAAGAAGCGTGGCCTCCACCATATTGGATCACGTGACAACCAGAAGTGCCGTTGATGGATTGATGACGGAGTGACGTTATGCATAGTTCACCTGCAGAGTCTGGAGGATGAGGCCACACGAAGATTTCAGGGCTTTAAGAAAACTGAGCCTGAATTCAATTTGCTATCTTATCCCATCAGTGCTGATATTGACGCAGCACCTGAGAAGCTGCAGCTTGAGCTTACTGACATATAGTCAGATCATACTCTGAAAGAAATATGTAATGCTGTGACATTAATTGACTTTTAAAAATCTCTGCCTGCTGAAACATTTCCATGTGAAGAAAATAGCTGGGAAAATTTATAGTTCTCTGTATTTGGGTCTTCGTATATTTGCAAGCAAAGCTTTGCTTTCTCGAAGATCACTAAGAGTAAATACAGATGCTTTTCTAACAGAATTAACCTGCAGACTGTGATAAGAATCTCAACGAGCAATCTCACTCCTGATTTCAAACAAATTGTAAAATATTGTGATAGCGTACATTTGTCTTATCAAGCTGATACTATATGAAATGCGCTTGCAGCTATAGATGATAGGAAATTAGAAAAATAAATTAACTGAAAACTACTACTATTTTATTTAATTTATATTTATTGATTTTTATGGTACAGCTTACACCTTTCCTAAAATGCAGAGTTAATTAAGAATGAAATCATTTTAAAAGGTGCGGCCCTCCGCTTCTACAAAGTAGCCTCCGACCCAAAACAGTTGCCCATTACTGTCTTACGCCCATGTAGCTAACAACTGAATATATACCCTAGAGCAGTTATGCTTTATGACAACAAGTTAACGACACTGGCACTATGGGACATAAAGATAGGTTAGTTAGGGGAACAAAACCCAACAAATATCTCATCTCACCGTGACCGCTCAGTCTGATACAGTTCAATAAATGCCTTCATTATTCTCCATAGCTATTGTAACAAGTGAATTAAGGCAAATCGCATCTTTATGTAATCGTAATTGTACTAAGATGTCATAGGTTTGGTGAAACTGACCTATACACCAGACGACAACTTTAACTCAAAGGTAATGTTACTTCTAGAGCCATTCACAGAGTAGACAGGCTCTTAGCTCGTAACAGACTTGAGAAAAGTCATGCAAAGAAATTAAATATCTTCCATACATGACTGATGGTATTTAAGTTGTGCGATTTAGTTTGCTGTTCTATACAAAACAGACCTACAGCAGTCGAGTGGTAAAACCGCTGAATGCTTGTAGTTCGAGCTGGGTGCAAAACCTAATGAATGGGCTGGCTCTATGGGAGTTTTCGTTATTTTCAAATCTGTAATGTGAATACGAGCCAGTTTCTCTTAAATCGTCCTCCACGAATGCATCCTAACATTTTGGCAGATAGCCCTCTTTGTGCTTTGCCGCAGTCTAACTAATACTCCAATCCATACGAAGCAGTGCTTTCGGTTAGCAAAGGCAATGAAATCATTGCGGCCCCAAGATAGCAACACGTGCTCCAGATCACCGCGTTTTTATGCTCACATTTCGTAGATGTTCTTGGCGTCATAGCTGGTTCCAGATATGTTTCTATCATAGTAGCTGTCAGGAATTAATCTGTAGACCAACTCATGCCTCATCGGGAATCAGTAAAATATCTCACTATCGTTGAATAGAGCCGAGATGAACTCGAAAACAGTTTCAGTGGGTTTCTCTGTACAAGAGTACCAGTGGGGGACAAACCACTGGTTCCTTTGAGTACAATTGACCTATATGTAGCCATGATAATATACTTTCTTTTGTCTACACTACACCGTGCAAAGATGGTAGGAAGTTAATATGCAGTGACTGATATGTGGGGTTGTACTTTCAAGCATAGAAAGCAGTTGTGACTCTTGGACGTCCCTTAACCGTTACACAGTAGTCCTTTGCGACATAGTTGCTTCACTATGTTAATGGTTCCACAGCAGCGAATGAGAGAAAGATTGATATTTAAAGCTCCAGATACTTTCGACTGTCTCTGGCTCCTTTCGAGATACCGTGCTATGTCCTATCAACATGGCATCACTCAGGTGATGTCGTCTACTCATTTTTCAAAACATGGCTGTTTCGATTTTCGTTCTGAATTTGGTAACGCATACTGGCTCTGCACAAAATATTCCTTTTCTTATACCAACACGTTTCATCATTAAGAAGCGTTGTTATGCAAGTTTTTTTCTGCAGTCTAATTTCCACGTGTATGCATTTGTTATGTATGCAATCGCCCTCATCGGTACAATAGTTACTGCTTCTGGCTGCTGTATCGTTGGGTTGGGGTTTCAATCCCAGAGAATGCATGAATGTTTGATAGACCCCAGAGAATCCCAGAGAATGCATGAATGTTTGATAGACCCCAAAGAATCCCAGAGAATGCATGGATGCAAGAGGATACTCAAAATACATGGCAAGCCGAAAGTCATCTTGAGTGTTTGGTGTTAGAGTAAGAGGTGTGAGAGAACCACGAACCTCCCTGAGGTTGTTCTCCGTCAAATTTGGGGCGAAGCTTAATAGTTAGTGCGGCGTAATTACAACTTGCACTACCAATCGTGAATTACGAGTGTCCTGCCCCACTTATACCTGTACCTGTTATGTATGCAAATTTTAAGGTTACATGACTATTCTTTCGCCGAATATACTATTTTTCCCTTATTGCCTAACAACTGGATACTGTTGAATAACATCTTATGTCTGATGATTTATTTAGAGAAGAAAATTCTTCTTATACTATTCAACAAACTAAAATATCCTTTGTAATGCATGCAGATATGGATATTCCACATATGCATATCAATTCAGGGAAGATGTTCTACATATACATATCAATACATACATATAAATCAATATGTACATTGCGGAAAAAAGGGGGACAGTTCTATATCTCACGTTCTACTGGGCCAATTGACGAAATTCAACTTGCGCTTTTCATGCCTCGAAAGTACAACTTAGGATATGTATTAGATTTATATATAGCATTGTTCTAACGTAGGTAACGTAATAATGAAAGAATGTAGATGAAAGGTTTCAGTAATTTATTCAGTAACAGATGATAGTTCTTTTTCATAATCAGTAAAAACAGTATGATTCTGAAATGCTTTCTAAGCTGGAGCTGGTTTAAATTTTGAAACTAAACAACAGTTATTACGTCAGATGATAATTATTTTTGCTGTATCAGTTTTAACATTCTGATCAAAAAAAGGAACTGAAACTCATATCTATAATATTTCAAGTAATGAGTATTAAATATAACAAATATAATGATTTATTTACCTGTAAACAAAACCGCTGAACCTGCAATTTGTACGTAAGGAAGCTGATTCCACACGAGAACCTCCGCCTCGACTAAATAAAGGGTAAGTCCAATAGGCCAAAGCATCAAGACATTGAGCAGTCCCACGAATGTTAAGAATATGGAAAGTTGATCCAAATTCACATTACCTATTAATTTTTTAAATAACACCTAGAAATATAATAGATAAAGTCAGTTAATAATAAAAAAAATATAAAAATTTTAGTATATGGAGCGTATGGTATAAAGAAAAAAAATTAGAAATAAAAATTTGATAACAATTACTAGTGTACAAAAAGTATGCAATTTTTCTGATTTTTGCCGTAATTCCGCAGAAAATCAACTGGGAGTCACAAAATTTTTACTACAGGGGCACTATGTAGTACTTAAAGGATGAGGAAACCTATAATAGCAAAAAAAATGAATAGGATGCATAGAGTACGGAATGAACAGAAAAAGTCTTTATTGGCAGAATGGGTTTGGTACAAAAAAAGTGTTTGGTCAAGAGGAAGAACAACAAGCCAAAGAACTTTAGTAACGGTTATGACCACCCCTTAACTGCAATGATTGCGTTTTATCGTCTGTTGATACTCAACACTAGATTATCTAACAACTCTTAGAATTAGAGTTCCCATTTTTCATGGAGCATCTGTTTCAGTTCACTGGTGTTCTCCAGAGGGTAAAATCGAGCCTCCAGTCCTCTCCCTGAAGTATCCCATACATGTTCAATGGGATTTAAATCAGGGGATCACGCTGACCAATCTATTCTGCGGATATCCTTGTTCCGGGAGCCAGGAGCTCTTCAACAGCACGAGTCCTGCGTGGCCATGCATTATCGTCCATAAAACCAAAGTCCAAATCAATGGTACCCCGGAAGGGATAAATGTCATTCAAAAGTAATAAAAATTTACCATTTAATATAATGGAAAATCTAAGGTAAGAAACTAAAATTCGATTGGATTGATATTGAGAGAGAGAAAAAAATATTTGTAGAAAAGATAAACAATATTATTGAAATAATAAAGAAAATAATAAATTAAGGAATAAAAAAGCTTTTCACAAAACTCATATTTTAAGAAATGAAAGCTTATGGAGCAGACCTTTATACCGGATAGCATCTATATGGATTTATCCCCTGCATCTCTGTTTCAGATTATTCTTCAGTTTTAGACTTTTTCCGAATTATTCTCGTAAATAAAATTTTGTATTAATGTGTGATCCAGGACGACATTTTTCCAGCTTTTCCGCCAGCAACTGCCCTTAAAAAATTACTCGCATTAAAAAAATAAGTAAATAAATATAATATAATGAAATAAAATCTGAAAGGCTTCAGATTTCTACGTTCGCCCAAGAAGGCTCTTTTAAAGTTTAATGTGGTTTATCAGCAGAGATTATCAAAAGAGATTGTCCAGATGGAATGACAAAACATTTTATAGTATATTAGATGAATATGCATTTAGACTAACATGAGAACATTATCTTCTGTATATTTAAGAAATGAAAAATATGTAATGCAATTCCATAAAAATATTTTATGTTTTTAATTAACTATATTATGAATTAAATGCATTTTTATTTAAATCAATTAGATTAAAATGTAAGAATATAGTTTTTTTAAGAATTGCACCTATTATTTTTAAATAGTTTAATTTGTTTATCAGTAGCAGACAGATTAAATATAAAAGAATAACATCTTAAGTTTTTCCGAATGGCAACAAACTCGAATGAAAAGTGAAACTTCGCAAAATCGCATTTCGAGACTAATAGAGAAATATGTTTTCCGAAAGCAGACCAGTAAATCAATTAAATTTGCCACGAGGCATTATTCAGCTCCCGTCAGATTCTGTATCAGCAGCTGTTGAATTAGAGATATTACCTCTGTTAAGGGAAACGAGCAGCCCTTAGCTAGTAAGACTAATTTTTCTGATAAAGAAAATTTTACAATAATTGTCACAGCTACTGGGGATAAAAAATATTGACAGAAATTAATAATTTAAAAACATTATTGACAATTAAAATTTATTTTATTATACAAGTCCTGCGAATTCTCTGCAAAGTATGGCACATGTACCACAGAAAATATTTATCTTTACAGGTATTTTGCTGTTATTAGTTTAAAAGATATTCATGAGGCCATCTAGAAGATAATGGCAAAAGTATTAGGAAAAGAACTCGCTGTGAAAGAAATTCGGTTGGTAGAGGAGATAAATTGCTCTTGTCTCTTAGCTGAAAGTGGAAAACGTAATATTAATTGTGTGTGACAACGCTAGAAATTCGGTTCTGTCTAAAGGCCAATTTTTACTGCACATAAGAGTTTAAAATGAAGAGAAAAAGTTCGTTATATGGTGCATGGAAAGTCATGGTCATAAACCAACTTGCTATAAACTGCAGTGCCCAGAAATTTATCCGCAATATGTTTTTAATTATTGTATTTTAAAAACTCTTGTAATGTATAATGTAACTTTAATCAAATTTTGATTAGGGAAGAGTAAAATATAGAAAATATAACACAAACTCTGTTCTAGATAAACAAACATAGTGTAAAAATAAAACAGCATAACATCGTATATAAGGTATTTCTCCCACTTCCCTAGCGTGCCTTCGTGGTGTAACGGTAGCACGCTGGGCCGGTATTCCAGATTTCCGTGGTTCGATTCCCGGCGTATTTTTTATCTTTTTTGCTTCCAATCAACCTAATGACTCTACACGTATACAACAAGATTACCTAGTCAAGATATTGGATATTTATTTAAACATTTTACATTGAAAATAAATCTTATTTTAATAGAAAACAGAATTTCTTCTTTTGACAGAATCGTTCCTAAGTGTTTTTCTAGCTCAAGCGAACAGGTGCTCGTCCCTGTATCACAATGAAATTAACTAGAGCTCTAAAATATTCAACAAAGATAACTGCAAATCATATCATAACTCTTTCAGTATTTTGTAAACATAATATAAATAAAATCTTAATGTATAAAATACATTTAGAAAAATAATATATGTAATAATTTGTAACTTTTAAGTAAATTAAAAAAATTATTCAGAAATTTATTCAAAAAATAATGCAACTTCTTCTTTCCACTTAATTAATAATCTCTAAATCCTTTTCAACATGAGGACATAATTAGAAAAAAAATCTTTAGTATGTCTACGTGCATATAGTTGAAGAAAAAGTCATTTGAAAGAACGATTTAAAAGCTTCAAACCGTTTCTAAAGAGATTTTCTTATTTAAATCCATGTTAGATGAAAGATACAAAAAGATACATAATTTTAAATTTATATAATTTTATGAAACCTTACATTTTTGATGAATTTATTAGCTACTTTTTAAAAAGGTAATGTAATTTTGTATATTTTAGGAAAAATACACACATATACGCAGTAACAATCATGACGAAAACAACACGAGCAAAAGTTTCTTTGTTAACATCACTTGCAACCGGTAAGATCATTATGGTAGAACAGTACTTTTGCCTTTAAGGGAGGAAGCAATTCTGAAAGTTCTGACATCTACTGCCTTGAGCTTTTAGTCTGTTTTGCTGTTAGATAGCAATTTGCTGTTTTGAATTTACTATCAAATGTTTTTGTCGTTTAACAACAAAGGACATTGCCTTTGATTTTCGATAGTTCTGTTTTTTGTTTTTATAATTTATTTTTTATAATTCCCCTTTTTTCATTCATTCATATATATATAACAGTCAACATTTACTCTCGGGGGTCGACGTAGAGAACTCTGCGAAGCTACTGGCTAGGATCAGTACCTAGGCAGTCTCGGCCACGGGGTATAAAATTTATGAACTTGGTGGTTCTGAAGGCTCTGGGAAAGGTCACTTATTGGCCGGCCCCGGAGTCTGGCACGTCCTAGCGCGGCGTGGTACTAGTAACCCGGGGGTCTCCCCCGGGGGTCGCTGGGTAATGTCCCGCTGCGACGGGCTCGCCCAAGCGACTGGTAGGAGCATTAGACGACCGGTGCTGCCTGGGGCCTGTCCCCAGGTGGTGCGCTGCTCTTCTGGAGGATAATAGTGGAGGTTGAACCTCCACGACGTGCCCAAAGGGAGAGTGGACCTGCAGTGGGATTAAGTTCTCGGAGCAGGGCAGCCCAAAATCCATAGTCAACATTTACTGTTAATTAAACCGCCCAACCAGTATAGTGGTTAGCGTCGCTGACTGCCGTGCCGAAGGCCCGAGTTCGAATCCCGAAGAAGGTATAAAGTATTTCTCCCGCTTTCCTAGCGTGCCTTCGTGGTGTAGTGGTTCTGCACGCTGGACCGGTATTCCAGAGACCCGTGGTTCGCTTCCCGGCGAAAGCGGTTGCTAATTTTTCATCTCTCTTGCTTAAAAGAATCCTAATGTCTCTACAAAGGTATGGTTGTTAGTATATATATATATAGTGCCCGTGCAGCATGGGGGTACTCTAAATATGCAGCGAGCCAAAAGTCCTCTCGAGAGGTTGATTGGTAGGGAAAGACTGGTGAAAGACCCTCGGACCCGTCCTTCCAGGATGCTCACCATCAAAATTGGGGAGGGCGGAACTGAGTAAATCGCACTGTCACCTGTAAGGTGTTCAAGGCTGTTCCCAACGACAGGCGTATCTTATGCTCCTTGCTATGAGGAATTTCGTGGGCTTGGGCTGACTATAGATCAGACAAGTGAGCATTAGTCAACAATAACAACTCTTAACTAATACAGAATACGTTTGCAAAATGTTAACTGCATTTTAATCGTTGTCTTTTGCTCCTTTGGGTAACCCTTGCTTCATTGCCCTTAATTGGGTAACCGTTGCTAATTTATGTGCATAAAAATTTTTGAAGATTTGAGTACATTTCCACGTAAAACTTTCAGCTGTCTGCACCATATCTTCAGTAATGACAGAAGGTCGCCCACTTCGTTCATCAACATGAAGATTCGTATGGTCATCTCTAAAAGTTCTAACACATTTCCGTACTATTCTATTGCTCATAATATTTTCTCCGCATAATTCGCTGAAGTGACTATGAATTTCAGCCGCTTTCACGTCTTTAGCACTAAGGAAACGAATCGCTGATCGTATTTCACTGTCGCCGAGATTCTCAATCGTCAAAGCCATTTTAAATACTCTGAAGCAAACGTCAGCGCGGTCGAAAGTCTCTCTAATAGGGCCTGTGGCTTGCAACAGATGCAAGTAAACAGT